AGAGAGAGAGAGAGAAGTTAATGAAATGCAAATAAAATAAAAAGGTTAATAAAAGTGCATAGAATTGACTTCTCTCTCTCCCCTCTCTCAGTTGGGATTCCTTTAGCATTTGTAGTGAAATACTTAATAATATTCTGAGAAATGTTCATAACTTTATCAAAATATTACATATCGACTGAATGTTTAGAGAATATCATTGAACACAAAAGCCTTATATTATATTTTTACTGTTTTTTAATCAAATAAATTTTCGTGAAATTACTTTCAATTACAGCATTTGTAAGCAAAATGAAACCAATCGTAAGAATTATGCTCTAATTTTAATTAAAATTATAAATAAAATTTTTAATATTTTACTGTCACTCGTATAATATTATAAGCGTTTAAATGAATATAACATAATAGTTATAATTAGAATTAATTTTACCATATTCTCAATACAATATAATATGTACACAACAAATATCGCATAATAGAAAATTGAATAAAACACATAACAAAACGATATAAAATTATAAGTGACAAAGAAATGTATGGCTGAATGGCATCGCGTTTTAGCTCAAGAAAGAAAAGTCCCATTTCTTTATGAAAGAGAGAGAGAGAGAGAGAGAGAGAGAGAGAGAGAAATATGTTCCCAACAAAAAATATAAACATATTATAAAAAGCAAAATGTATTTATGATATTTTTTCACTCCCTTTCTTTGCAGTGAATATCAGACAAAATCCAAACGGATATCTCAACGAAAACAGTCGCTTAAATGCAATGCCTGTGTGTTGTGGTGTAGGAGTTTGTGTGTGTTTTTTGGAGCACAGAATATTCTGGCCTTTTATACATATATTTGTTTTTGTTCGCATATTTTTTGTTTTTGTATATGAATTGTAATAATCAATAGCTCTCTGAGATTGAAATCATGTTTTAAGAGTAAAATATCTACAAAAGAAATGTTATTATAATAATAAAACATAAATTTTCAGACCATTTTGTCGTTAAATCAATACCAGTAATAAAACATTGATTTAACAAAAAGCGATACACATGTATATAATTGATAATAAATACACAAAGAAATATCGCAAATATAATCATAATTACCGAAACAAACTATAATAGCAAACAGGAATTACATACCGGTTGGTAATAAGTTAATTTGGCTTTTGAATGACCTAGGGTGCGCGCCAGGGACGATACATATATCGCCGGATCAAACATGTAGGCTGTTTGTGGGGGTGGGGGAGGGGCAAATAGAAAAAAGCACCATGGTAGTGGTGATGGGAAACTCACCCGAGTGTGGTCATAGTGACGATGGTGTACCAGAAAGCGGCGGGAATGCTGGTGAATGTGGTGCCGCCGACATTCTTCTCGGCGTAGAACATGACGGTAGCGAAGATGATGATAGCCATGGCCAGCGAGAAGACCAAAAAGCCGAGTTCGGAGGCGCAGCTCTTGAGCGTATAGCCCAGAATGCGGAGTCCCTGCGAGTGTCGCGAGAATTTGAATATACGAAACACGCGAAACACGCGGAGTGTGACGAAAGCGCCCGACACGTCGTCGTTGTCCTTAATGAATAGTCCGATATAATAGGGCATAATTGCCACGACATCGATGATCGACATCACCGATCGCATGAATTTGCACCGGAAGGGCGCCGCGTAGAGGCGCAGCATATACTCGGCCGAGAAGATCATCACACAAGCCGTGTCCAGACAGAAGAAGGCGACTTTAAATGTGTCGCCGCACGAGATCTTGTTCTCGGGATTGCCCTCTTTGTGAGTGCAGGGAACCGTCTCCACGACGTTGGCCACCACTGACACCGCTATGAAGAAACCGGTCACGTAGTAGAACACCAGCGCCGCTGTCGACGTGTGCGGGTTCTCGAAGGCGCGCCACATCTGCTGCCGAACCGTACCCTTCGGCTCGTTCTTCTTGTTCTCGTTGTCGGAGAGCCGGTCGTCGAGCATACGCTCGGCGTTCTCCCGCTTCCGGTCCCTATAGTCTTCGTAACAGCAGTCGCCGATCACATCGGGAATAATGCCGAAGAAGGCCAACTCCTCATCGTACGACATGAGACACTCGTGTTTGGGGTAATGGAGTTTACCGGTGCGGTAGTAGTTGAGAATGTGGCGGAATATGTCCGGATCTCTGTCGAAGAAGTACTCCTTGGAGTCCTCGTCGAAGAAGAATTCGCGCTCATTGGATCCGAGCAAAGTGTCAGGGTACTTCTCCACAGTGTTGCGCCACGTCTCGAACCGACGGCCGCTTACGTTAATCACAAACTTTTCGTCCTCTCGTTTGCGCGACTGGCGAGAGATGGGCGGCGCCGGCAATGGGTTGTTGGCGATCGGCACCCAACCGATGGCCGCCGCCCGAGCGAAGGGCAACCACGCGGCCACCGATGCCATTGCGATGCGACTGTTGTCGGTGTTGTTGTGGCGGTTGTTGTGTTCACTATATGTCACAAATCACTAAACACTGTTGGGTTTATACTTGTCGAGTACTACCGGCGCTATACCAACAGCACCGGTATCTCACCAGTACTCTCACTCTCTGTGGCGATAATATTGTCGGTAATTATTAAATGTTATTATTATCCTATGGAGTGATTGGAAGCGTTGGTGGCGATGGTGTGTATGTCTGAAGAAATTGTGTCACTGGATCTACTAGTGCTGACACAACTGTTTTCCACTCATCCCTCAATCTCTCGCACTCTTCCTCTTCGAGCGCACGACTCAAATGTGTTGTTGTCGTCGACTCTACTCTTCACTACTAAACGAAGTGAGAGTTCATCTCATCTCAAAATAAAGCTGAAGACGCGAGGAATGAGAGAGAAGTTGGAATGCGTTCAACAATCTCCCGGTGCTCTCTCTCACAGCACATCTACCATACGATCCATACGATCCTCGCACTGAGTGTGTGTATTGTATTCCTTGTGCTCCATATCTCCCATTCTCTCTTCCATTCTCTCTCCAATGCTCTTCTCTGATGCTCTCGTGCTCTCCTTATCCCACTCTTTCTCACTGTCTTTTTTCTTTCTCTCTCTCCCTCTTACTCTCTCTAATAGTGTGTGAGTGAGAGAGATATGTGCGCTCTCTGAACACAAGTATCCAAATGGTCTGTCAGTCACTCGTATATTCGATGTGTGTGTTTGCTGTGGGGTCTGACGTAAGCGACAGTTCCTATGACTACACTCTCAACATTGCGAGCTCTCTCTCTCTCTCTCTCTCTCTCTCTCTCTCTCTCTCTCTCTTTTCACACACACATTCCCAGTGCCCCAGAATTTTTCTCACCAGTGTTTTCTTACTATAATATAAAACAAAAACTATTTTTATATTTTTTTTATACCAAAACAGAGACTATCGATATCTTATTGTCAAGAATTTAATTCTTGATTCTTAAGGCCTTAAAATTTGAAAAATGACTTTAAATGACTGCTATTTATATATTTAAAGCCAACACTTTTTTTTAGCCATTTAGCTGTTGTACGCACAACACTGTGAGAAAGAAAGATAGAAAGAAAGAAAGAAAGAGAGAGAGAGAGAGAGAGAGAGAGAGTATTATTTATAAATCATATGTTGGGGAAAAACTATTGCCAAAGACTTTAAGTGAGAAAAGACCTATTTAAGTGAGTGAAAGCAAAAGTGTGTGAAGACTAAGGAATAGAGACCTGAGTGAAAGTGAAGTCCAGAATATTAAGTCAATAATGTGTTAAGAACGAGAGAGAGTGAGAGCGTTTGTTAACTCTGTGTGATTTTTCATAATTAGATTATAACACACAGTATATGACGTTTACAACTGATACTCAACACACAAAGAATATTCTTGCATTAAAAATGCAAACATTTTTTGGGGAGAAAAAATTATTTCACAGAAAATATCACTTATTTTCAAACGCCTTTATAATCGATAAATATTTAC